GCCAAGTCGTTAATTTGATGAACTGGAGATGTGTGGATTACTTGTGAATTATTGTGATGTTTTGATCAGCTGTTTGGACTTTCATTCTGACGGCACCCATTCACTGCAAAGGATCTATTGGTGAATTGGTAAATTTATCCAAATCTGTTCTGAAGAAGAAACAAACTCATCTACACATTGGATGGCCTGAGGGTGAGTACATTTTCAGCTAATTCTCATTTTTGGGTGAACTATTCCTTTAATATGTACAAATTATTTCAAACAGACACAAACTCATGTTTCTCACCACTTCCTCTCTGGCTGTGGGGTCTGTGTTGAACTCTGGCTCTACCAGCAGGGCCAAGACCAAACCTCTGACTCTATGCTGGTATAATACTGAGGGCACTAGAGAGGTGTCTGTTAGGGTCTCATGTGGTGAGGGGGTGTTTGTGGGTTCATATTTCTCCTTGAGTCTCCCTTCGACTTGCTTGCTCTTTGTTCTTGCCTCTTCCTCTGTTTCTCCTTGGAAATTGCCATTTTTATTGGTCACATGATTGTTAGCGTCCAGGTTATTTTCTTCATTTTGAATCTGGTTGTCATGGTCAGAGTGGTTATCAAGACAGTTTGACTGCTCATACCCATTAGTGAGTGCTTTGATTTCATCACTCTGAATGTCCTGATCTGAATTTAAACCTTCGCTTTTGGTTTCTGACCCCGAGTTTGCATCTGTATCCTGCTTTATGTTCAGGCCTGCCAAACTTTCTTTCACTGCACACAACTTAGTTCCGTTAGACGTGCTGTGGTCATGTGAGTCAGGAGTAAAATACTCTGATTGGTTCATGAGATTGGAGTGAAGGGGAGAGTTAACCCTTGAGGGAGAGGGGCTGAAATATGGTTCATCAGAGAGGGAGGAGCGAGGAGACGACGGCATCGTCTGATAGGACGTTGGGGGATACTGCATGGGATCTAAGCTTGAAGAGTCAGTATCTGTGGTTGGGGTGTCAGATAAAGTGCGTGATAAGAGGCGGGACTTGCTGGGTTGGCAGGGAGGTTGATTGCAGTGAGACCTAAGAATGAGAATATTTATAAATACCAATGAATATGTAAAGACACCGCTGTTCAAACGTTTGGGGTCAGTAAGCCGTTCCGAATCTAATGAGACCAGTCTTATTATTTTTGGCCAAACTGGTCAGAAGTTATAAGCAGAAATGTCAATTGTTTATATGTTTTGATCAGTGGGTGGCGCCATGCTGAAACTACTCAGGTGCCTTCAGGTCATGCTTGTTACATGTACCAAGTTTGGTCAGAATCTGCTAAAGTGTTGCAAAGATACATGTCAATTTTTGAACGAATTTCGTCAAATTCATTAACATGCTTTACGAGAACAGTTTGGTCTATTGGAAGTCTTTTGATAACTTTTTGCCAGCATTGTCTGAAGATGATCTGAGCCAATTTTGGTGAAAATCAGACATACTGTCAAGGACAATTTCGAAAAAGTTGATTTTTCGCAAAATTCATATTTGCTAAAAATCTTGACCCATAGAAATTTTGAGGTAATTTGAGATACAGACTCCAAATTTGCTATGGTTAATATTGAGACTGTCCTCTATCTGTGTGCCAAATTTCAACCGCAAGTGGTTCTATGGCCTGCCATAGACTTCCAGAGCAGAAGAAGAATTACTGTATTTTTTATCAAATAATGCAGACTTCTTTCAAAAACCTTTAAAAAAATCTTAACAATCCCAAACTTTTAAACAGTAGACTATATACATATATCCACAAAACGCAAATATCTAGTAATGCATACACTTCTTGGTTTGTACCTGCATGCTCTATCCACTGGGTAGCAGCGGAGCATGTACAGTTCAGTGGGTGTCAAGAACACCTGTGTGGTAACTGTGAAAGAGGACGGTGAGCCCACAGATGAGCTCAGGCCATTGGCCGTCACCCGGAAATCCTGTAATGAGACATAGGGATAAATACGCAAGGATATAAGCATAAGCATATATATATATATATATATACACAGTATATGCAGTATCAGGAAACTTGACTGTACCTGGCTGTACGTTTGCGTCTCATACACCATCACCTTCACTGTCAGCGCAGGAGGCATCTGAGTACTAACCACCCTGTAGAACAGAGGATTGTCACTCTAAATTGCTTTAGCCACTTACAGATACATGATCAATATTTGGAATAAATATGAATTATCGTAAACAAATTTTCTCCTGCAGTGGAAGCTCACCTGCCCCTGTAGAGGATACAACCTGCCAGGACCAGAGGACATCGCTGACATGCCTGAAGAATGAGGGCAGCCTTCAGCAGCAGCAGAGGATCAATCTGATGCAGGAGTGAGGAGAAGTAACCATTCGCAAACAGGTTTGTGAAAATGATTCACAATAAACATGAGGACAGGATACTTTGCTCAAGGCTTGCTGTTGCAGTACTGACTGAATGCATCATTTTGTGGCACACGTTTACCGTAATAGCAAGTTTAAAATCTAATAGTTCCACATAATAATTCGGTAACACTTTACTTGAAGGGGTGTGCATAAGACTGACATGACACCTTCATAATCATGACATGACACATGTCATGAATATGAAGGAGGTTTTATGCATGTTTATGACAACTGTCATTAAGTGTCATTTGCTCAGTTATGTCATTTTTAATGACCTAACCCTAACCTAACCCTACCCTTACCCCTAACCATAGCCCATAACAAAGACATCTCAAACAATGTAATCTTTGCATTAAAAATTACATAACTGAGCGAATGACACTTAATGACAGTTGTCATAAACATGCATAAAAAACCTTCATATTCATGACATGTGTCATGTCATGATTATGAAGGTGTCATGTCAGTCTTATGCACACCCCTGTAACCAATAATTCCACTCATACTTACATGTGTGGAGTCAATGGTCCTCAGGCAGCTGAAGATGTTGTGAAGCTCAGTGGAGCCGCCCTGCAGGTGACAGAGATATCTGGCCCATCGTAAAGCCAACTCCTCCTTACTGTACAACTGTGTTGAAGTGCAGCAAAACACAACATATAAGTGGAATTGCTCTGATATGGTATTAACTTTTAATAGATATGAAGTATCGTTCACAAAGTTGGGGTCTGTAAGATTGTATTTTTTGTATAATGAAGCAGGGTTATTATATCTAACTAAAACCATAAAACCTTTTCCGCTACTTAAACTTTAACTCAAAATAAAATATAAAAAACATTTTTTAGTTAGTTGCCAGTGCAATATTTGTCATTTTTGTTTTGTCTAACATTAAGTAATAAAATAGCTAAAACAAAATGAACTATAATAAATACAAATGAATAAATATCGACAAAAACGCAGCAAAACAGTCATATTGCAAATTCTTATTGGAATTAGAAATATCTCTTTTCTATTTTAATATAGATGTCAAAGCTGAATTTTCAGCATCATTACTCAAGTCTTCAGTGTCACATGATCCTTCAGAAATCATTGTAATATGCTGATTTGGTGATCAAGAAAAATTTCTTATTAAATATTTTTGTGGAGCCCATGATACATTTTTTGTCAGGACTCTGATGAATTTAATGTTTAAAAGAACATCATTTATTTGACATAGAAATCTTTTGTAACATTATAAATATCTTTACTGTCACTTTTGATCAATTTAATCCATCCTTGCTGAATAAAAGTGTGAATCAAACTTACCGACCTCAAACCTTAAACAAATATACTCATGTTAAATCATAATCAGTGAATAGAACACTGTAGACTGTGATGTTGCACCTGGTAGCTCTGACGCACTGGTCCATTGTAGAAACAGAAAAGGGCAATCAGCTGATCAAGTAAGTCACACACACTCACATCAGGAATGTCAACCACACAGCTTAATGCCTGGAAACCAGAGAAAGATCCCATTCAAAAGAGTTGTGAAACCACCAAAAAAAGTGCACAAGGTCTTCCTTGTAGTCGAACTAAGTTTGTATTACTCTGTTCCAAAACCTTGGCTCAATTTAAGTCAGGAGGAACTAGGCACCAAGAAATTAGGTTTTGTAATGTCATTTCCCAAAGACAAATGTTCTCTTACCCAAAGAAAGCTATCCTTCATGCGGACAGCATATTTGCTTTTGCGCAGGCGAAACAGGCGTACCGGAGATGAAGACATCTCAGACACACAACGACATACACCGGCAAGCTGTCCACAAAGCAGCTCTTGTTGGTCTACTGGTGTCTGCAACAGCACACACACCATCATGCATATGTATATTAAGTATTATGAAGGTCGTCTTTTAAAACAGCCGCATTATAATATTGTTATGGAAGGTGCAGTTGCTTCTTCATGCTTTAAACAAAATATAAATCATTTTCATTACAAATTACATTTCTTTACAAATGACATCAATTTAAACAGGACAAATGTCTTACATCCTCAGGAGAGAAGTAGTAAATCCCATCTCTAGTCAGGTCTCCCTCCTCTTGCACCTTTAAACTATCATACAGGAAGAAGAAGCTGCATTCGGAAATATGATGAAAGACATAAGCAGTAAAGTTAGCCAATAAGCCAACCCTCTTGCCTTCCAGTATTACTGATAAAAGTTGAGGAAATTGATACAGAAGTGTTTTCCATTGATGTTAAGCATGACAATATCTCTAAGCATGTATAATGCACTGGGCAGTGAGCATTCTGTTCTCCACGACTGCACTGATGGGTCACACTGTAAGGGATGCTTTTCTAAAGGACATCTTAGGAAGCTGCATACATGTTGTATAGAGCCACAATATATCACTTTGTTTAAAGAAAGAATGTAAAGATTTGCACACTGAATATTATTCTCACCGTCTGGAATCAGTCAAAGCTGCTGTCTCAGCCATTGGCTGCATCTGTTGAAAGAAATAATATTTCACCAAAAAATGAAAATGTACTCATTTACAGGCTATCCAAGATGCAGTTGAGTTTGTTTGTTTGTTTGTTAATGAAACAGATTTGGAGAAATTTAGCATTACAACACTTGCTCACACCAGTGGATCCTGTGCAGTGAATGGGTGCCGTCAGAATGAGAGTACAAACAGCTGATATAAACATCACAGTAATTCACACCACTCCAGTCCATTATTCAATGTCTTGTGAAGTGAAAAGCTGGATGTTTGTAATAAACAAATCAATCATTAATGTGTCTTCTTGACATTAAATGGTTGCTTCCAGCTGAAAAATGAGTCCTCTATCCATAATTTTGCTTTCTCCAATGTAAAAAGTCATCTTGTCTGCATCAGAAGAGAATTATGCACAAACCAAGCACCGTTTACACGGGCAAACAGGCTAAAACAGTTCTAAACAAATGTGTCTGTGGATTTTGATGTGAGAGGACAACATAGGATGGACTTTTTCAGTGGAGGAAGCATAATTATGGATTATGGACTGGTATTTTGTATAATGTACACCTTATCAAAAAAAAAAATGCAGTGCATGATCAAATATTTAGGTGAGTTAAATATATATTTTTTGAAGAAAATGCCCTCTCACAAGAGTCACCTAAAAGAGGAATTCATTTTCAAAAAATGAAATTTAGGCCCTGAATAAATGTCTAAAAATCTAGACTGGACCATCTCTATAAATAATTCTACATGATAAAAAGAAAGCTTTAAAAAAAGATATAAAGGCTTTAGAACTTATATGGATCTGTGATCAGACTCAAAAATCCTGATCGGAGCACCCCTAGTCAAGATCGAATCATTATAATACAATTATAGATCTATAAATGTCTAAGTTACTAATAAAACTTACAGTACCTTCAACTACTGTCGATGTTACTGTAACTGTTGCACAAATGCTCACATGTTCTTGATTTCTCTGAAATGCACACAGAAGTGGACACTTCTTCACTATATTTATTTGTACTTCATTGGAGTACTACTGAAACTGAATACTTGTTCTTTAACTCAATTACATTTTCAAGGCAAATATTATGCCTGTCACTCCTTACAATTTCGTTTAGAACTCCGAAGTACAAAACATACAAAGCAATGCGTTTAAATAGTATTCACACATTCCAGTTCACGAGTTCACACATCAGTTTAGAAATACAGAGGTAGACACGCACGTCCAGGTGTAAATACAGTAACATACTATTCATATACAATAGCTATTCATATAAAGCATTTATTGTTGCACTCATGTCAAGAGTAACATAAGTAACAAAGAAATATTTAAACTTTTAAATGCTTTCAGAAATCCTTGTTTTAGATTAGATACTTTTTTAAACGAGTAAATCATTTGGATTATTCTCCAATCATGCTGGACATCACGATCATCAGGTTTTGCACTAGTGAGGTTCATTGAGTTGCTGTCAAAAAAAAATAAAAATAATAATAATAATGGGAAGTCAGTATTAACGAAAGAGAATCGACAATAAGAACATGCTGTCGTGCATTTAGTATTCGATTATATCCATGTTAGATAACGTATGTTTGCACCGAATTGATCACGCAGATGTGGAAACAAACAGGTTGTTCCTCCATGTTTCTTGTCTGTGCAACAAGAACCGAAACGAGTATTATTTTGACTCACCGTCGGCGGGTTGAATGAAGTTTAGATCAACTTTACGCATGTCATCCAACTTCAGCCGAGTTACTCGATCCAACCCACACTCCCCTGATTATTCATGTTCACTTAGAAAATACTGTAAACAACACTCGAGTATCCAAATGCCAGTTATATATTTAGAATAAACGGAAACTGATAAGATCTCGTTTTTCATTATGCCATATTTAGTTTTTGAGAAGGAATGTGTCACAAGAGTAGTCATGTGAGAGTGTCTTGACAGTACGGCGAGCCTGGAGGAACAAACTTCATTTCGATATCCAGTTTAGCCTTGCGTTTTTCGGGGAAGGGATAGTATACATACAGATTTGATGTGTGTCAACATTTATTTTTTATTTACATATTAAGTCACATGCACCTATAAATATAATTTACACACTTCATAAATCCTTAAGCAGTTTTTAAAAACGTGCTTCTTAAATGCATTTCTCTTCTATACTCAATACAGCATTTAAACAAGTAAAACACAATGATGTATCTCAGGATCTGACTCACTCAGTCACTCCCTTCAAAAATGAGACTTCTAACACGGTTTATAATTTAATGAATAGATTTTAATTTCAGTTTAAGCAGACAATGTGATCAAATGGTCCTTAAGCAAATAAGTAACTTTCCATAAGGTATTTCCACTAGGTGTGGAAAGCACAGAGGTAAGATCAACATACTGGACAGATGTCATGTAAACTGAAAGAAACTGAGGAGTGGTCCAGGCCTGGACAGATGTCCAGGGAAAGCTCTGGTCCCTGTGGGGGAGTTCTGGTAGAGCTCCTAACAGCCTTCACTCATCATGATGCTCGTAGCCGTCAGGGAGGGCGTTGACGTGAGGGTTGTGGAAGAGAGACTTGGTGCCGTCACCCCATGGGAAACGCTGATGTACGTGTGGGAAAGAGAGGAATAGGATTGTTTAACGTTTTAGTAAAAATATATCTAGGTAATTTTGATTTGTATCAGGCATGTGATCAGTTTTATATTAACAATAATAATTATGATTATTGATTTAAAATATATATTTTTAAAAATCTAAGAAATATATTACTATTGCTATAACACTATTGAATTGTAAAATTAAAAGATTTAAAAGAAAAAAAATTATAAAAGAGTATTTAATAAGTTTAATTGACAACAGACTTATAAATGTTTTACAATTACAATTTTGGGAAGATGGTTTGCACATGTGTAATGTTGAAATGCATGCTATAAGCGAGTAAACTGAACAGAGCCGCTGACAGGTATCATTGTTTTGCAGAAGAAAAATTCCTGATTTATGCAATTCATGTGGAATTTGAGGAATTCCTTAAAGGTCTTTTAACATAATACATATATGCATGTAGAAGAAATGTTGTTATAACTTCATTATCCCATCCCAAACCAATGTAATCATTGAAGTGCTGCTATATGTAGTAATATAGAACTTCATACAACAGTTTGTTCTGGTTCTCAAATCTGACTGGATGAGAACCATGAGATATTGTACTGGTATCGCCACAGGAACGCCCTTTCACCGTTTGTATCACTCCGCTTCCTGTATTTCTCACAGCGAGTGAAATGGCAGATGCCCAGATCCACTAAAACTTAAAAATACTGTTTTTGTGTCACGGAATGTAGTTTTAAGAGTTTTTTTAGGCGAGAACGTAGTTGTTTAGACTTCAAATATGTGGTTTGTTAATAAGGATAACGTCTATTTGAAAATTTGCTTTGACGTTTTAAGAGACGCGAGCTCCAGGTCATCAGCGGCCGTTCAGCGCTCGTGAACCTGCCGAGAGCAGCCTCACCTCGGGCCAGAACTTCTGGAATTTGCCGCTGGCTCTGATGTCTCTATAGTGGTTAAACATGAGATATAATTTGTTTTTAAGTAAATCTGATGGGCAGTCTTTAGTCTCAATCTATTATTTGTTCCAGAGCAAATAGTTTCGGGTGAAGGCAAAATCTCATCATGTTATATTTTACGTAACCTTAATGCTGTATATTAGAGCATGGCTTTTATGATGGCTGTTGTTGTTGTTTATTATTCAATAAATAATATTTTATATACATAGTAGTATTAAGTATTAGGAAACAGTGTGCGTGTTCGTGATGGTGCTTTTTGTGACATTGTTCCACCATTAGATGGTGACAAGTGATTTACTAGTCAGCATTTAAAACTTTTATATTGAAAGACTGAAATGGAAGTTATTTTTACTTTTAATAACAGCACTGAGCAGAGCTGTAATCAGAAATCACCCTTAACAGATGAAAGGATTGTACGACAAAGATATCGCTTTCCTCAGCGGACATTCAAACTAATGTTTTATTGTGAATATGAGATTGAGCTAAAGAATGAATGCTGTATCAGATGCAGGTAATCACACTCGCTCAGTCCATCTCTCTCTCACAATACTCTACTTGACATAATACAGTGAGCTTTTAATACAGTGATACAATAAGCTTTTAATGAAGCAACTCAACGTTCCTTCATTACTAGTTCTAAAGTGATGTTTTCGAGTTAGTAACGGAGGCTTCAGCTCAGCTATTAAACTGTCAAACTGAGATTTGAATGTGTGGAGGAAGGAAGTAGTTGTTTTTCTTATAGCCTATATTTACACTCGTGCCGTCTAACTGTTGTATAAACGCAATATCACCCTCGGACTCGAGCGATATCGGCTCTATTTCAGCGGCTGGGATTGCCTGTGGCCTCGTGCCTCTGGCCTAGTCACAGCCGCTGATATAGCCGGTATTCGCTCTCGTACTTGAGTGATGTTGCTCATTTAAAGACTGAAAAGTATTAAGATATATTTTTCAGCACTACCAGAAACATATTTACGTTGCTGTGTACTGATATATGAAATGCATATGGTTATGGTGTGTGAAGCGACAGCCTCATTCCTGGAGGCCCTCTAAGGTATCACAGCACACACAGATCTCCAATGTCAGATAAACCAGCAATTCCTACATTTATTTTACTTGGAAGACAAAAAAAACATGTTTGATGCTCAGCTTTAGCCAACCAAAATACTTTAGTTTTCAACCCATTGATCTTGAATGACATTGATCTTCAAGACCAATGACAGTGTTTACAATGTTAATAAGTAATAAAACAAAACCCCACAAGTAAAACAGACATTTAAAATTCAATACTTACAATATTTAAAAACAAACCTGACTCAAAATTGCAAATGACCAGACTTCACTGAACTTTCACACTTTCTTTTAATTAAATAAAACAAACTCCCACCAGACTCCTCCTGTAGACGCTTTAAAGGTGTTTTTCGTGTGAAGGGTGAGTGTTTTCACCTTGCTGCGGATGCGCAGGTGGCTGTAGGGAACGAACTCCGGCTGCTCATGGCTGTGTTGTTGAGCCCTGAGGTACATGTTCAGCATGCACACCGCGACGCCGGGCAGCGCCACCACAAACGACAGGATCTTCCAGGTCTTGGCTACATGAACATATATCAGAAATAGAGACATATTACATACAAATCTGATTGACACGTGATTAACATTCATCATTACTACACAAAAGTCTAAACTAACTTCTATTTTGCAGTCTATGCCAACGACAGAACCACATTAATCAGCCATTCGCGTCACATCCACAAGGTCAAAAGGTAGAGTTCCGGCTGTTCGTAACGGGTGCTCTTTTTTAGTTCGGCGTCTGTTTTAGGCCATTTAGAGCTGGTTACTGACCTGCTTGTTCGCCGTGAGCTGCTGCTGCAGCCGAAAGCTGACGGGTTTGGGTCAGCACAGCTGACTTCAGGAGCTTCTGGGATAAACGTCCGACCGCGGCCATTTTTGCGGAGACTGGAACAGGAACAACAGCGGCGGAGGAAGCTTTAAGGCTGGTGCTGGTGCTTCACGCGCCCGCCATCTGGTGACAGGGAGGTCCGACAACGGCTCTGTCTGGCTAGTGTCGGGGGTTTTGATTCATGAGCAGTGACTCGAATCTAGTCACTGAAAAGATTCATCGATCAGGATCATCAGGTCGTAGGTGGCGAAAGTGCGTGTTTTTCAGTGAACAAGTGAGCAAATCATTCATTAATTGTGATTTATACGTTCTAACAAAGATACTATGCCATTTTAATTGTGTTCATGTCATTGATGTTATTTGAATTATGTAAATCTTAATTTTTATAATTCTTTTTTGCCTTGTTGTTGTGAATAAAATTGACTCACAATGACGAGCTAAACGAACAGAGCAGATCCTCGTTCAGGAACGAGTGTTGCTGCGCTGCTTCGACTCCTTCTGACTCAAAATGTCGCCTAAAGGGGGCGTGTTCACTTAGTAAAACCAACCAATGAAATGCGCCTTCACAGTCGCACTCAAATGCTATTGGTTAAGCGACAGTCAGTCTTTGTGCGTTCCATTCGACCGTAAGTGGACTGCACAGGGTATTCCGCCATCTTAAGTGAGATTCCAATCCGAAGGGAGCGAACATGTTCAGTTCGAAGGGCGCTGCGAACGGCATAGGGAATAAGGGAACATCATACATCACTTCACAGGAAGTGGAGAGGGAAAACCACCCAGCTGTCATTCATTGCGCACTGCATCATCAGTCAGAGGCTTTAATATGGTGTGCGTTTTAATAGACCGGTGACGACCGCACAGATAGCATTATAACATAACTTTCAAATGTATCTGGAATGATAAAACAGCGCTGCTTTACCCCACATACGCACGACCGGAAGGAGCGGAAGCGGTCTACTGTGGCATAATAAAAGCTCCACTGCTTTCGAGCCGTGTGTCACACACGACAGGGGGTTTCACACTGCCTGACTATCTGGGGTAGCAGTCGGATCGGCGACGGGGTTTCACACTGCCTGACTATCTGGGGTAGCAGTCAGTCGCTGCTGTGTTCACACTGCACGATGGATCGGCGACAGGGGTTTTCACACTGCATGACTATCTGGGGTAGCAGTCAGTCGCTGCTGTGTTCACACTGCACGATGGATCGGCGACGGGGGGGTTCACACTGCATGACTATCTGGGGGAGCAGTCGGATCGGCGATGGGGGGTTTCACACTACATGACTATCTGGGGGAGCAGTCGGATCGGCGATGGGGGGTTTCACACTACATGACTATCTGGGGGAGCAGTCGGATCGGCGATGGGGGGTTTCACACTACATGACTATCTGGGGGAGCAGTCGGATCGGCGATGGGGGGTTTCACACTACATGACTATCTGGGGGAGCAGTCGGATCGGCGATGGGGGGTTTCACACTACATGACTATCTGGGGGAGCAGTCGGATCGGCGATGGGGGGTTTCACACTACATGACTATCTGGGGGAGCAGTCGGATCGGCGATGGGGGGTTTCACACTACATGACTATCTGGGGGAGCAGTCGGATCGGCGATGGGGGGTTTCACACTACATGACTATCTGGGGGAGCAGTCGGATCGGCGATGGGGGGTTTCACACTACATGACTATCTGGGGGAGCAGTCGGATCGGCGATGGGGGGTTTCACACTACATGACTATCTGGGGGAGCAGTCGGATCGGCGATGGGGGGTTTCACACTACATGACTATCTGGGGGAGCAGTCGGATCGGCGATGGGGGGTTTCACACTACATGACTATCTGGGGGAGCAGTCGGATCGGCGATGGGGGGTTTCACACTACATGACTATCTGGGGGAGCAGTCGGATCGGCGATGGGGGGTTTCACACTACATGACTATCTGGGGGAGCAGTCGGATCGGCGATGGGGGGTTTCACACTACATGACTATCTGGGGGAGCAGTCGGATCGGCGATGGGGGGTTTCACACTACATGACTATCTGGGGGAGCAGTCGGATCGGCGATGGGGGGTTTCACACTACATGACTATCTGGGGGAGCAGTCGGATCGGCGATGGGGGGTTTCACACTACATGACTATCTGGGGGAGCAGTCGGATCGGCGATGGGGGGTTTCACACTACATGACTATCTGGGGGAGCAGTCGGATCGGCGATGGGGGGTTTCACACTACATGACTATCTGGGGGAGCAGTCGGATCGGCGATGGGGGGTTTCACACTACATGACTATCTGGGGGAGCAGTCGGATCGGCGATGGGGGGTTTCACACTACATGACTATCTGGGGGAGCAGTCGGATCGGCGATGGGGGGTTTCACACTACATGACTATCTGGGGGAGCAGTCGGATCGGCGATGGGGGGTTTCACACTACATGACTATCTGGGGGAGCAGTCGGATCGGCGATGGGGGGTTTCACACTACATGACTATCTGGGGGAGCAGTCGGATCGGCGATGGGGGGTTTCACACTACATGACTATCTGGGGGAGCAGTCGGATCGGCGATGGGGGGTTTCACACTACATGACTATCTGGGGGAGCAGTCGGATCGGCGATGGGGGGTTTCACACTACATGACTATCTGGGGGAGCAGTCGGATCGGCGATGGGGGGTTTCACACTACATGACTATCTGGGGGAGCAGTCGGATCGGCGATGGGGGGTTTCACACTACATGACTATCTGGGGGAGCAGTCGGATCGGCGATGGGGGGTTTCACACTACATGACTATCTGGGGGAGCAGTCGGATCGGCGATGGGGGGTTTCACACTACATGACTATCTGGGGGAGCAGTCGGATCGGCGATGGGGGGTTTCACACTACATGACTATCTGGGGGAGCAGTCGGATCGGCGATGGGGGGTTTCACACTACATGACTATCTGGGGGAGCAGTCGGATCGGCGATGGGGGGTTTCACACTACATGACTATCTGGGGGAGCAGTCGGATCGGCGATGGGGGGTTTCACACTACATGACTATCTGGGGGAGCAGTCGGATCGGCGATGGGGGGTTTCACACTACATGACTATCTGGGGGAGCAGTCGGATCGGCGATGGGGGGTTTCACACTACATGACTATCTGGGGTAGCAGTCGGATCGGCGGCGGGGGGTTTCACACTGCATGACTATCTGGGGTAGCATTCAGTAGCTGCTGTGTTCACACTGCACGATGGATCGGCGACAGGGGGTTTCACACTGCCTGACTATCTGGGGTAGCATTCAGTCGTTGCTGTGTTCACACTGCACGATGGATCGGCGACAGGGGTTTCACACTGCCTGACTATCTGGGGTAGCAGTCAGTTGCTGCTGTGTTCACACTGCACGATGGATCGGAGACAGGGGGTTTCACACTGCGTGACTTCACAATAGGAAGAATCGCCGACAGCTCTGTCTGGTCCGCAAACTACGTTTCACAACAAAACACACGCGAGAAGTGAAATAAATTACAATATTTATTTATGTCATATAATAATCTGCGTGACCCTGTCGTTGCCTTTGTTTGATGACGTTCCAGGGCGTTCCAAATAAGCGATTATTGTTATTATTGTCAGCTAAGTCCACTTCAACGGATATCCCGTGCTTAGGGAATAGGGAGCAGTGAACACTGCGTAGGGACTCTGTCAATCGGAACGCACCTTCGAGTGGGCAAAAATCACTCGTTCATGAAACTATTCACTCATACAGACCGAGCTAGAATTTGCATTCTCTGACATAACGAAATAATAACATAATATATGAGATTTCCTTTGGATTGGAACACTTTATATGCCATGCTGCCGCATTTATTTTAGATTAGAGTTGACGTGTAACTTTAAAAAGCCAACAGGCATGCGAAGTTGTTTTTCTGACTTACCACTAAGATATTTATATTTTATAGCTGTCATGCATTTCTGGCAGCTGGGATGTTCTTGGCAGAAGACCCCGAGCTCTGGTTTGGCTGGGAGGAGAGGACCGGCCCCTCTGGCGTCATCCTGCCATTCCACACAGTCTTCACTTATCATGTGCCATGGAAAACTCTACGTGTTGCACGGGAACAAGCTGATCAGTAAGTTTAAGTTTTCTTTAGATTAAACAACTGTAATTCAGAGTGTTTTCTCATTGTTTATGTGTGTATGCTCATAACGGTTATGCATCTTTTGCATTGAATATAATGGATTTATTGCTATATGTTTGAACTTCTAGTATTTTACAGAACTTTGTTGAAGTGGCATTGTCTTGTGCATTTTCAGATTCACATTTTTGTCTTTACAATCAGGCTATAGGCTGACCTCAAGGAATGCAGTCCAACAAACTCTCAGATAATGTGGAGGGAAATCCTGACAGGGTGGATCCCTTCTACCAGCAAGGCAAGTAAAGAAGTATAGCTTATTATAGCAGAGACAGTGGCTATGGGTGTTGGCTGCTCATACACTGGTTAAAAGCTTCAAGTCCAGGTAGGAGTTATCTATTAAATGAAAAAGACATGTCATAAGCACCTATCAGTCCATCAGGCATTTATTAATTGCATAATATATTGCTTTAAATACAAAATGTGAGCTAAATGACCAGTAAAACATAGTGGTATCTTGTGCTATTTAATATAAGCTTTACATAAGCTCATCTATTATATATATGCAGTATGTTTACTTTTGATATGTCCGATTGTTGACTTTTGTTTATTTACTGTCATTTTCAGGCAAAGTGGCTTGTGTCATGTTCACAGTTCTCCTCCTCCTTTCATTCTTGGTAATAGGAATCGTAACAGGTCTCAACTGTAAGTCAGATTTATAATGTCTCAGAACATATTTATGGGTTAATGGTTGTGTAACTGGTTTGTTTTTAATTTAACATACTCTAGTCAATAATAATTCACAAGAGGATCAGACCAGGGGTCTTCTTTCTGATGATATAACACCTATCCCATTCCAGTACAAAGGTGATAGAGGTAAGAAAGTTTTTTTTTTTAAACATTTAAAAATGAATGCATTTGGCATATTATAATTATAAACAGTTTTTACGTTGGTAAGCAAGTTTGGTATGTAATCGTGTGTTTTGTTCTCTTAAATACAGGGCTCTGCTCGGATGGTTGGGTTTCATATAAGAACACCTGTTATTTGATAGTAAATGTTTATGGGACATGGGAATTATCAAAGTCTTTATGCCAAGACAATGGGGCACACTTGATGGTTGTGAACAGTGAGGAAGAGCTGGTAAGAACATGGACATCTATTGGTTTATATTTTTATCTTCATTTAGACTAGGGCTGCATGATAAATCGCATGCGATATTTAACGCGCATCTTATCAGTAAAGCCGGTTCTGTAATCAGGACGAGCTGCGCAAAAAATCGCGCGAATATGAACGTGGTTTTGCGCAGCTCGTCAGTGAACAACGGCTCTGTGTAGTTAATGCTGCTCAATGTGAAAGCCCGCAGGTGATGGAGATTTACCGCTGATTACAGAACCGGCTTTCTGACAAGATGCGCATTAAATATCGCATGCGATTTATCGTGCAGCCCTAATTTAGACTACTGTTAAAAAGTTTATTTTCCACATACTGTACATTATTGTTTCTCCTGGCCGCAACAATAAAGTTATGCCTTCTTTCTTTGCATGAACATTTGGGCGGTGTTATGCAAATCTTCCCACACAGTGACGTAGACGTGGGGGCGTGTCTAAACGAGGCGTTTTAGGAGGGCATGGATGAGTCTTAACTTTTATAAAGAATGTGTCTTTGGGTTTGAGACTTTAGTCTTCGCAACTTTAGGGATCTTATCTATTCACGAACAGCTTGTAACACTCCAAAGAGAAAGGAAAACTTGAAATCGCATCATATGACCCCTTTAAAGAAATGAATACTTTTATTGTTCAAAAGTGTCAATAAACACATTTAGAATGTTACAAAAGATTTCTATTTCAAATAAATGCTGTTCTTTTCAACAATTATAGAATCCTGAAAAAAATGACCACAGTTTCCTAAAAAATATTAAGTAGTAACACAACTGTTTTCAATATTGATAATGATCAGTGTTGGGGGTAATATATTACAAATAACGCGAGTTACGTAATCAGATTACTTTTTTCAAGTAACTAGTAAAGAAATGTCTGTTGAGCAGCCAATCAGGATTATATATATATATATATATATTGTAATAATATTTCACAATATTACTGTTTTTACTGTATTTTTGATTGAATAAATGCAGCGTAAGAGATACAAAATTAATTAGAAATTAAACAAGTATATAATTTCAGTTTATTGCTGCCCCTTTATTTTAGGAGTTCATTTTACGAATTGTTCAGAAGAGGCCTGACTACTGGATAGGTCTCAAGAGGGACAAAATGGGCCAGTGGTCCTGGGTTAATGGAGATAATTATCATTCAACTCCACAGTAAGAAATCATTGTCATACATTATAAGCATGTGTTTTAGGTAGTCTGTAATTGTTTTTAAAGTTATGAAAAAACAAAAGTGATACTGCATAACATACCAACCAGATCAGTACTTCTCCTTCTGAATTCATTGTGTTTTGTGTTCTTTTCAGTTTCTGGGATGAAAATGAACCTGCTCATTGGGATATTGAGTCCTGCGCCCACTTAAAAGGATCTGACACAGTGCATCGAAAGCTGATGCATGATGCTGACTGTCGCAGTGAACGGTATCACATTTGTGAATGCAAACTAGAGAAAGGCATGTGGTAGGAAACTTTGCCATCACATCAACTGCATTAGACTGTTGTCTTAAAATCATGCTCTGGACATGCTCCTTCTGACATTGTTAGATGTTTGTAGATGTCCTCTTTTTGTTTGTAAACTGTACTTGCCTGACTGATGCATATTTAATGTACTTTTGCTATTCATAAGTCACTGTTTATAGTGTTCCAGTATACAGTCCTGTTATATGAAGACATCCAATTAAGTAAAATGTTCACTAAAATTAATAATTTGTTTATCTCATTTTTGGCCCAATTTAATTGAAGAGATGTTATTATTATTATTATTATTGCTGTATATATTACCTTTTAAACCAGTGTGCAAAAGGTCTCCCAGTCTGCATAATAGTCCTAGGTGTTATATAAACTGGGAAGTCTTTTGCACACTGGTTTAATATATGAGTAAAAACTTAAAAAAATAAAAAAAAAATTAAAGTGTAATTTATAATGTATCTTGCAAAGACACAGTAGTTTGATTATTAAGCAATCATAATTAGTTATGTAATTAATCAAAATCCAGGGTTAGATTTGAGGTGATGCTGACTTCTGGTGGTGAGACAGACGAGCTGCATGTGTAGATGTTAGGATGGGGACTTCAGTGAATCTACTTAAATGAATCAAAACCAGTCTACTTAAAGGGGTCATATGATGTGATTTAAAATTTTCCTTTCTCTTTGGAGTGTTACAAGCTCTTGGTGCATAAAGAAGATCTGTAAAGTTGCAAAGACTAAAGTCTCAAATCCAAAGAGATGTTCTTTAAAAAAGTTAAGAGTCAACCACGTCTACCTAAAACGACTCATTCTAACACGCCCCCACATACCTACATCATGATGTGGGAAGATTTGCATAACACCACCCAAATGTTCACGCAAAGAAAGAAGGCGTAACTTTTATTCTCGCTGTAGTATTGTTGCTGCCGCCGCCATGTCGTGAAGGCGCTGTGTGCTTCGTTGTGAAAGCGAAACTACTTTGTTTGGCCTTCCAAAATAGGAGGATATCTGCTTCGTCATGCCTAGAGCTGATCCGTGCTGGTTGCTGAGGAAATACAACTTTGCGCTGTGGATCGCCAGATAGGCTTTCACCGTGGACGAAGCGAGTCCAGCCCGGGGCCGTCACATGTGGTTGCCGCAAGCACGCCCGCCACTCCTTCATGGAATCCGGCCGGCCGCGCCGTTCTCAAGCCCACCGGCCTCCGCTCACTCTAGCCCTCCAGCCGTTCCTCACTCTAGCCCCCGGCCTCTGCTCACTCTAGGCCGCCACCGCTCACTGTAGGCCGCCGTGTGTGACGCTGTGTTTCGTTGTGAAAGCAAAACTACTTTGTTTGGCTTTCCAAAAATGGACACGACTAGAAATCAGTGGTTAAGTGTTCTTTTTAGCAACATCATGTGACCCCTTTAAATATATATACATACATTTATTTATATATATATATATATATATATATATACACACACACACACACACACATTATTCAACTGTTCATTTATACATGTAACATATGAATGATGTATGTATTAGTTTTTTATTATGTATTGTATTTTTTAAAAATTATTAATAGAAAGTTCAACAGAGCTTTTGTAACATTCTAAATGTATTTACTGTCACTTTAAGTGCATCCTTGCTGGATAAAAGTATTAGTTTCTTTTGAGCGGTAGTGTATGTGTCCAGCTGTATTCAAATAACTTATTAATATCTAAACACTTAGTATAACATGTAGGTCAAACAAGTGGATTTCGTATATGAGTTGACTACGGTCATTTCTTGACTGAATAATATTTTGCTATTACACACGTGATGTTCCAATGTTACAAATAGTCCAATAGGATGTTAGGACTGTTGATTCTGCTCTTGGAAATGGTTAGGAGCCGTTGCGTAAGGACAGAATGACAGAAGACAGCCATCAGGACACTGACCGCAGACAAGGAGTGAGAGCCAACAGAGACAGTCACTTTAAACAGTAAGATTCACTGCACTTGACATTTAGATTTTTTTTTTCTTTTTTCACATGAGAGCATTTTAATGTATGGTGCTTCATAGTAAAGTCCTAATTTGATTTGGTAATGAGAATGTTTTACAATTTTTAATGATCTTGCAAAAATAAGTTTGATATGGTTTTGTGTATTTTGACAGTATCTCTGATGTACAGAAGTCCTGGCATTCTGCTGTGTTTTTGAACTGAACAGACATTTTCATTTGCTCTTCTCCATGTTTGTGATGGATGAAGTTCAGATGTAGTTTGTCAGTCTAGAGGTTAATATTCAACTGTTCGTCGCATGACCTTGAAACCTTGCGTTTAGTACATTTACTCTCTTTATTTACACCTCAATATTTCGATGTTGAAACAAAAGTCCCAAAATTTGATGTAAATACAACCTGCTTTTATTCCTCAGACATGGAATCTGTATCATATGACCGGTTTACCACATCTGAGGCAGAAATTAATCATACGGGCCAAAAGTTTTTACATGAATCAGGTGAGAGATTTTTTTTTTCATTTTATGAAAGGAATGTTTGTATATTATTGTTAAAAACTGTTTTGGAGAAAATTTTAACTCAAAATTAAGAATAAATCCCGACACCTTACTACTAAGAAAAACTAACATTTCTAGTAACCAGATAAGGCGGTGAAATACCATAGTAAATCCTTGTTTGTTAAAGGTGGGGTATGTATTTAAAAAAACGCTTTTTCGGGCCAAGTACCAAAACAAACTTGTAACCAATCAGCAGTAAGGGGCGTGTCTACTCATGAAGCAGAGGAGAGAGCACTCAGTGCACCGGACGGACATTAGCCGAGCCGAGCGACGACAGAAAGATAGAGATGGCGGATATAAAACAAAAGAGGAAAGCGTCTGCGGAACAAAAGAAGGCTTAAGGCAAGAAGTAGGACCCGTGTAAATATCGGATCAGCTTTCCAGCGCTGGAGAGAACTCAAGGAGTGAGAAAGCCTGAGATCGGACACCGAGGTTGCTTTGTTTCTTCTCGATAGGTGAGTAACACCGTGTCTGCGCCGCAACAGCTAAAGTCTATCTAGTACACTGGACGCGACAAAGCTACCGTTGAAAATCATTAGAAATTTGTGTCAATACGTCATAAATAGAACACAGCAGCAGTTTTCTGTCGGGGATTTGTCGTGTCGCGCCACGCTGCGCCGCATCCAGTGTAGACAGCATCACTGATTATAATGAGTTCTATAGTATTATAGACACGCCGCTTGCGTCCGGTGTAGACACGGTGCAACATTGGTTTTAATTTGTTTCACAGAACTAATCGTTGCCTGGGTTGCGTACATATGTGTGGGGCAGAGCTATCAAAATAGGGGCGAGACCCTTTTGGGGTATGGGCGTGTTTGTTTTGCCTTAAGCTGGGCTTTTGTCTCTTTTTCCAATAAAAATATCTAAACTTCCTTAAAACAAGATATAATTATTTGAGAACAAAATTGTAGATAATAGACTTGTCAGAGGATATTCCCTGAATTTTCCCCTATATTTAAGCACAAAGCAGAACATTTAAGTTAGATTTATGCTTAAAACAAATTACCAATGGGGTAAGACAACATTAACTTTACTTCAAGATAAAGTCTCTCTTAATATATAAGGACATTTTGCTGCTCAGGTATTAGAAACCAAGACTGCAGAAAATTATTTTTACAGTGTGTACTACATAAAATATTATTTCAAAAATAAATGTTACATACTAGTATCCATACAGGATTACAACTAATTTTTTTAAAATACTTTACTTGTTTTAAATACTTTAAGTATGTTTGTTTAATTTATAAGAAGTTATATTACTATTCTGTGTCAATAATTGCATATAAATGTACGTAACCTGCTTAAGCTACAAAAATAATTTTTTGAATCAGTATCTTTGTATTTTTAAACAAGGTAAAATTTGCAGATAGATACGACTAATATGACTTATTTTTAAGAGAATATATCAGTTTAAATAATTGACTAATTGTTTTTACTTGTTTAAAACACAAACTGCATAAAACAAGAAGAACTGTTTGCCAGTGGGAAAAAATGCATTTAAAAACGTAATTCTGATCAAACTTAATTCTTAATATCTATTAAGATATGTATATAGAATATAGAATTTTAATCACATGCATTTGCATATACCATTAAAGAGTCTGTCTGCTATGAATTAAATATCAGTTGGCATGAACAAAAATAAACTGTTAGATGATATACCATTGCTATCTTTAATGAGACTTGAGGGACAGTCTTAAACCTTTATCGAGTTTCAGTTCATTTGCAGTTTTCACTAGGATAGTGCTCGTGTTCGGGGTTGTAACCCGCTTGTGCAAAGCATTCGGCTGCTTTTCTGTCACATTCACAGATGAACATCTCACAGGGCCGATTCTTGACAGCTGCAAGAAACAAAAAACAACAGTCTAGTCTAAATATGTGCCACAATCCAGATGCAGTTCAGGTCTCAATTACTAACAGAGCTTGTAGATATAGTCTTCTTTAGTACAGTCTGTCCTACTGAGTGTAGCATCTTACCATTGCAGGTGACTTTCATTGCTTCTTTGTCACATGAGAATGAATAGACTTCAGTGTAGGGGTTGTCTAAGATACCCCAGCAGTCTTCATGTTGCCATGAGTCAGAATAACACCGATCATGCACCTCACAGCACCTAGAGGGATAGAGAATGCAGTAGACATGATTCAAAAGTTTGTCGCATTCACCTTTTGATCAATAATTATTATATTTGTGTTGCTTGGCTGCTGTGGAAAAACAAAAAATTTAGCTTGCTTCTATGGATAAATTGTTCATTGATATATATTTAATATTCATAATGCACTTAATTAATATTCACATTACTATTGTGCCGAGATTTTTCTGAAACATCTCCTTAAAAAGGTAAAGTTAAATCTATTTGACTGTAGTAGTATTATTTTTTTATTTTATAATTTTTTTTTGCAATGCGTGCTGCCTACAAAAATAAATTAATTTGTGCAACATGCAGCTTTGAACATTTATAAACTATGCACTAAACATCTCAGCTTGAGAAGGCTGAAGTGTGACTGACAAAACGGATTCAAATGATTCATTCAGTGTCTCTGTAACGGGTTTAAATCTGACCTGTCCAGCTCATCCACCGGGGTGCCTGAGCCTCCCTTTCCACAGTAGCATCCGTAGTCTGCATAATCCAGTGCAGGCCAGCTATCAGGGATGTTACAGAGGATCATAACCCTGAACTGCCACAACGCGCGGTAGTCTAGAGTCGCCAGCACTGTTAAACAGTGATAGTTTATCAGTGCTTCATACTGATTAGCAATCTAATGATGAAATAAAATCAAAATGATATGTAAACAACTATCTTAATCAACAACTGTTATGTACTTACCAATGTCTAAAAAAGACTAAATGCGTCAGATTTAGAATATAGTACATATGAACCACTTTTAGTTTATAATTATGATTTTGTGCATCCTTTTTGAAACTTGACAGCTTTTGTCATTATATGGAAGGAGTGGCCAGGGTATATTCTTTAGAACGAAATCCACTGTTCAACAAATCTGTTCAACAGATAGTCAGATACAGTCACACAGGTTTAAAATGGCATTGAAGGTGACAATGATGAATGATGACAGAGTTTTAAGTTTTGGGTCTACTATCCCTTTAAATTGGCTGATTTGTTTCTAACACTATTCATAGTGCACTGCAAACTTCACTATTCAATAGAAGCAGCATACACTATGTTTATGACCAAAATTAATCTAATACAATTTTTAATTCACCATCCGTCTCAAGCCTATGATACACAGGGCAACTTTTTGAACAAAGTTGCTGTCAACGGGCAACCAGGTGAGACACAGGGCCCACAGCCGATCTAAAGTATCCAGATAGAAATGTGTTGCCCATTCACAATGGGAAAGTGCCCAAGCAACATTGCTCAAAAAAGTTGCCCCGTGTATCATCACCTTTATAAAATATTTTTGAAATGTGTATAGCAGTTTCATATGACTGGTTTGTTTCTGCTTCATCCAGTGGTCAGTACACTGGTGAACTTGTAGAGTCCAGGGAGCACAGGATCAGTTGAAACACAACCAGTTTAACCAATCAGGTTTAATGACCAATAATAACGGAGTATACCCTTACAGTATTCTCATAACATATTTTATCTAATAAAATATGTACATGTTTATTAGTTAATAGTTCAATTATTGGACTGACTAATAAATAAATGTTTTTTGCAAATTATATTCAGTATCTCTATATGTTAAACATTTGCTTTGCATATAATAATAATAAATTAAAAGAATAAGCTGGAGTTGAATAGTAGAACACATCTTAAGTATACTCACAGGTGGGCAGACTCACACTCAGGATCACGACAGAGAGGAAGGTGTTCATGGTGAAGACTGAATGAACAGGTATTGGCCAATTATTTATAGGTCTATAACTTATTTATATAACCTTGATGGGCGGGGCACATTGATAAGCTAACTTTGTGAATTATACACGTAATATATGTTAATAAATGCGCATGCACGTACACACACAAGCGGCCAAACGTAAAGTTGCTGGGATTGTTACAGTTTTGTGCAAGTTGAGTGTATTTACATACACTTATCTACGTTTGTGTGTGTATGTTTTGATCTTTGGGAACGTCAGCATGTGTTTTCAATTTGCACAGCTGGTACAAGAATTCAGTTTTCTCGAAAAAGCAGAATTTCTTAAGGCTTGGAAAAAGTTGCAAAACAGTCAGCACACAAAAGTGTTTTTTGTTGTTGTTTTTTTGAATGACCAAAATGGCAGCAAATAACACAATTTCACTTATTACAGGGTATTGTGTTGCTATATAGTGGTGTGAGAGTGACCATGAATGCAGTTAGAGTGATGAGAAAGCTGCTGATGTCTTTGGAAGCTGAGCTGCAAACACTCGAGGACAGATAATTATTGGAGGCGTTATAAAGTGCTTGAGCAAAACACTCTGCTGCAGTCTTGTCACACTGGCAGATGAACATATCACACTCATCATTACTGTCTGAAAGAGAAAAAGAGTTGTATAAAGGAGCGTGTTTAATTGTATTGAATGCGCCCTTGTAGTGTACTTCAGCTTTTACTTGCAGATAATATAACACTAATGAAATAAAAGGTCACTTAAATCCCTGTTGAAAAAAACAGCATATGCTGGTTAGGTATGTTTTGACGCTGGGATGCTAGTTTAAGCTGGTCCTTTGCTGGTTTAAACTGGTCCTTTGCTGGTTTAAGCTGGCCCTTTGCTGGTTTAAGCTGGTCCTTTTGCTGGTTTATGCCGGTCCTTTGCTGGTTTAAGCTGGTCCTTTTGCTGGTTTATGCTGGTCCTTTGCAAGCACATGACCAGAATAAACCAGCAAAAGGACCAGTTTAAACCAGCATAAGCCAGCAAAGGACCAGCTTAAACCAGCATCCCAGCATCAAAACATACCTAACCAGCATATGCTGGTTTTTTCAACAGGGATGTACTTAATGAAAGTACACTTTCATGACTGTTTAATAACATACTTATGTACACTTAAAATGTGATGTTTTAATGATCGTTTGTTGTGCTTTAAAGACGTACACTTAAGCTAATGTGTTGCTAATGTGCTGACATAAAGTACTTGATTATAAATTAACTGTAGTTTTATTTAAAGGGTCATATGATGCGATTTCAAGTTTTCCTTTCTCTTTGGAGTGTTACAAGCTCTTGGTGCATAAAGAAGATCGGTAAAGTTGCAAATACTAAAGTCACAAATCCACAGAGATATTCTTTATAAAAGTTAAGAGTCAGCCACGCCTACCTAAAACGGCTCATTCTAACACGCCCCCACATATCTACGTCACTATGTGGAAATATTAGCA